TCTCCTTTACTAAATGTTGACTTCAATTCTGATTTTTGACCTCTATCAAATATAATTGATTGGATTTAGTTTTAGCATCAGGAAGGAAACCAGATATACAAATTTGTAACAAAAAGGTTACCTAAAGATAAATATTTCCATCTGTGATACTTTTCTTTTGTTAGAAGAATCTATACAGAACATCCTAGGAAAAGGCCTTAGTGTGAATCTATTGAACATGTTCAGCCAAGCAGAGAAACTTCCCATTCTAGTGTGGTAGATTCATAAGTCATTTTTTAGTCTATTCAACAGGAAAAAAGCAGCTGATTTTTAAGTTCATCACTAAAGACTTTTCAGATACTTAGCAAACACGTTCTGGTAACTCATTGATGTTCCTTTCGTTCAGTTCAGTTGCTCAGTCATATCCAACTCTTTGCGACCCCATGGACCCCATGCCAGACTTCCCTGTCCATCACCAACTCTGAGTCTACTCAAGCTCATGCCCATTGAGTCGGTGATGCCATTCAACCATCTCATCCTCTGTCGTCCCCTTCTCTTTTGCCTAGGGTTCCTTTAGCCTAGGGTAAATGAGAGCCATCATTAGGTGACATTTGGGGATTGTCAGTCCCAGCACAGGACAACTCTCAGAACTCCACACATCCTGAAAGTTGGGTGTCCTTGGGGGCTAGCTCAGCCAGGGTGTGTCCCTATGCTTCAGACAGCTTGGGATTTAAGGCCTGCTTTGAGTCCATTAGGCTAGTTGTTAACTGACCTGGACAAAAGGCTTTAGAATCTTTAAGTAGAGGTGAACAATATCTGTATTCCTTACATCATTCATATAGAGCCTGTATCAGTGTTTGCTAATGGAGGATATAACTGGGACTAAGAGGAAAAGTGGCAGGCCAGGCGCTCTCCAACATGACCTCCTTGTTCTGCTTCTAACTTTTGGAGTTGTTGTTGAGGATAAATGAAATACGAGTACCTGAGTCGGAGTATGCGCGCAGTGTCTGTGTCTGCCTGCTCCCTCCTCCTCCTGGTAATGGTTTTGCTTAACATTAATTGACTTCATCAGTATGGACAACATGTATATTTAACCATTGTTTTAAAAAAAAAGGATTAAGGATTTCTAGTAAAAGAGTCCTGATAATTTTATAAGATGATGAGAAAGTATATACTTTATTTGAGATAAAGCTGAAGCTTTTTTTTCGTGCTGTACGTATTTGTCACTTTTTTTCCTTCTTGCCTTTGGAAAGTTTCACATTAACAACAGCATGAGAACTTAAAAATACAGTTGATGTTGAAAGAGCTTAACTAAATATTTTAAATTGGTGGTATTGGAAGGAGATTCTGTAAAAATCCAATTAAACTTTTGAAAGCTCTATCCTGTTGAAATAACTTAAAGGAAGTTAGTTTGGTTTCCCAGAAGTACTATGCATAGTGTTTCTGGCTGAGGAAGAAAGACCTGAATCTGCTATTTATTTGGCCAGAAATTGGGTACCAGCTTCCTCTACGATGTTTTACTTGAGCGGTGTTGACACTTGAACAAATCCTGTACAAACTGCCCCAAGTGGGGAACAGTTGTCCTTGCTTCTGTGGTAGAGCTCCGGCCCCATAACTAACATCCAGAAGCTGGTAGTATTCTTGGCTGAATACTCTATAGATACGTATAAATTGAGAGCAAAACCCCAACTGTTTTAGGAACTTTCATGGCTACCGTTTTTCAACCAATCAGTAAAGTAAACTTTTAAAAATACTGATGCAGTTTATTGCTTCCTAGCCAATAAAAACAGTGAACAAAAAGAGTCTAGTGTCCCTTGTTTCTTAAGTAAACTTTGAAAATTCAGTTTTCTTGCCATTTAATTATTCAATTCAAAAGACTAGAATGACTCCTTTTTAAATCGGGGCACTTTAGGAATTTTTTTTCCCTTGCCTCAAACATCAGAAATAACTTTCTCTTCACGTTAAATGACAGTGAAGTATTTTGCCAACCTGTTTGTTTTGGTGATTTATTTTTCACAGGGAACAAGAACAAACACTGGTGTGCAAAAAACCTTTTTCTGTTTGATTTACACTGACAAGAATGATAGCTACATTTACTACTGGTGTTAAGACATTTCTGTGTATTAAACATATGTGAATATAAGGAAAAGAAAAGTGGTTTATTTCTGGTTACTTAAAAGGTTTAAGTGTATTAGCTTAAATTCTTTGAATTTACTCTAAGAGGGGGAAGAAAAAAACACTTAAGGAAGTTGATGTGTGCATTTTAAAAACGGAGCAATAGGAACCAAAAAGGGAATTAAAAACATAAAAAGTATTTGTTTGTTGGTTTGGAGCCAGAGGAGAGGGAGAAGGGCAGGGTGGCTCACGGACACTCACTCCAGGAGTTGAAAGAGAACCCCCCTGGGAAATAACTGGTACAGAATTCAGAGGGCTGCTCTGGCCCTTCTGTCTTTGTCCTTCTGGGGTTTTGTTGTGGAGTCATGTTATGAATTATGTGACCCTTTATGGAGTCACAGTGGTTATCAGGACAGCAAAAATACGTTAACCACAAACTGTGGAAATCTCGGTTGATGTGGACAATGTCTTTTAAAATTTGGCCTCAGCTGAATAATCTTACAACTTCCTGAATATGAGCCTGTTAAATCAGGCAGAGAAAGGTAGTTGAATTTCACTGTGGTACTAAGTTACCAGTGTTCAAAGCAACGCGGGCTTTTCTCCAGCAGAGGAAAGCATTTTAAAGAATTTAGCAGCTAGTTTGGCTATTCAGAGTTTTCAAATGCTATATAAAACTCAGCAGTTATACAGAGTGGAGTCAGGAAGAGAAAGATAAATACCGTATTCTAACACATAGATATGGAATCTAGAAAAATGGCCCCAAAGAATTTATTTACAGGGCAACAATGGAGAAACAGACATAGAGAATAGACTTGTGGACGTGGGGAGAGGGGGAGATGTATGAAGAGAGGAACATGGACTCTTACACTGCCATATGTAAAATAGACAGCCAATGGGTATTTGCTGTAGGGCTCAGGAAAAAACTGAGGCGCTGGTGTCAGCCTGGAGGGGTAGGATGGGGAGGGAGGTGGGAGGGAGGGGATGTATGTATACCTATGGCTGATTCATGTTGAGGTTTGACAGAAAACAGCAAAATTCTGTAAAGCAGTTATCCTTCAATTAAAAAAAAAACTCAGCAGTAAGCCAGCAGTACTTTAAGATGCAAATTTACCTCACAAATTCTCATCTTAAATTCACAGAAAATTATAACCACGTTAAGCATCAATAGAGGAACTACTAGTGATTGCTTAGTGAGAGATTCTTTGGTCTGGGGGTTTATTTAGAGGAATACATTATCTTAAATAGGATTAATTAATTCTAAAACTGGGAATTAAGGCCGCCTTATAAATAGTATGTGCTTTCCTCGTGGCTCAGATGGTAAAGAATCTTCTTGCAGTGCAGCAGACCTGGGTTGGGAAGATTCCCTGGAGAAGGGATCATAAGTCATTTTTTTAAAGGTGACATTAATTTTATTTGTATATCAAAAATATACAATGATGTGGGGCAATTGCATGAAGTCAGAAGCTGGTCTGTGGTGAGGAACAGCGCAGGCCTTTGACAAACCTGGGAGTTTCTTTGCATGTCATTGTGGGCAGAATCCTTTTGGGCTGTCAATACTGAGTAGTTTTGAAAGGTTACTAGCAAACCTTAGACGACATTAAGAAGAATACAGATGGCAGAGGGGTGGGGAAGTGGCTCAGATAGAGGGGTAGGGTGGTGGCTCAGATGTTAATTCACCATTTAAGTGGAGATAGATAGGAAGATTGAATAGAAGCTTTTATGTATTACATATATAAGTTCCATGAGTTCAGGCATTTTTGTTTTATCCTAAGCATTCAGGATAGCCCCTGGCATATAATATGCATTTGACAAATCACTGATGGAATGAATTTTGATAGCCTTCCTGGTGCAGTGCATTGCAAAGGGAAATTAAATGTGCATGACACCACAGTTAAGTTATTGGTACCAGACTCCCTGATCTGGTTGAGAAATTGTTAAATATCAAACGCATAAAGTTTTAACACCATTCAGCTTTAATCTTTATCTAGTTGTTTTGCTTTGTTCTGAAAAATGGGAAGATGTGAATATATGCGTACTGGAGTGAATTTCAAAGAGCTAGTCCATTTTGGAAGGCCATGTGTTAAGTGAACTGGCTTATGTGCTGGCGTTTTACAATGGTTAATGTAGAAACTGTTAGGACCACTTTGTGAAAGGGTCGCAGTTGTGGTCCATTCAGTTGGTGATGTGAGCAGCTCCTTGAATTCCTTCCTCCCTTGGCCACCTTAGAGTCATTAGTCCTGCACTGATTCAGTTGGGGTTGGTTGGTATAGAAATTATATTGGCACAGTAGTTAGTAAGAAAGGCGCTCAAGCTCATCTAGTCATCTCATGGATTTACATGTGCAGGAGCAGCTCAGTGCTCATAAAAATATGAGCACTGATTCATCCTGCACATTTATTTTTAAAAATTGTTTAAAGAGAATTTTTAGACAATTTTAAATGAAGTACGGTTGATTTGCAGTATTTTGTTTTAGCAAATGTTTTAGGTGTACAGCAAAGTGACTCACTTATACGTGTATCTACTCTTTCTCAGCTTCTTGTCCCATGTAGGTTATTGCAGAATATTGAGTACAGTTACCTGTGCTATAGGGCAGATCCTTGTTTGTTACCTATTTTATATATAGTTTCGTGTATGGGTTAAACCCAACTCCTAATTTAGCACCCCCCCCCTGTAAAATTTCCATTTTCTGTTCTGCAACAGTACACAGAGTACTTAATTAAGGACTATTCTGCAAAACAGTGACTCTCTGCGCTAGATGCCCTGAGCAGTTTCTAGTTCATCAGGAATCCACACACCTTCCTCCATAGAGCCTGAGTTTGAAAGACACCCCTCGGCAGACAACACTCCCTGCCTTGTCCAGGGTTGCCAGCCGCCCGCTCACGTTGCCTTCTTGGTCTGTTGCGCAGGTGAGAAGCCGTACAAATGCACCTGGGAAGGCTGCGACTGGAGGTTCGCGCGCTCGGACGAGCTGACCCGCCACTACCGCAAGCACACGGGGGCCAAGCCCTTCCAGTGCGGCGTGTGCAACCGCAGCTTCTCCCGCTCCGACCACCTGGCGCTGCACATGAAGAGGCACCAGAACTGAGCTGCCCGCGCCGCCGCCGCCCGCCCCACGCAGCCCACTCGGCAGAAGTTTAAACTACACGATTGATTCTATATATATATAAAAGAGAACGAAAACACAAAACTGGAAATGTATATTTTGTATATTTGAGAAAACAGGGAATACATTGTGTTAATACCAAAGTGTTTGGTCCTTGTCCGAATCTGGAATGCTTGCTATATGCTGGCTTGACCCAGGTGGATGCCATCATCTCAGACAGGCAGCCCCATCTCAGTGCGGGCTGGGCATGCAAGGGTGTGTTTGAAGTGTTCTTTCCCAAAGCACCACCATTTAATGTGACAGTGTTTAGCAAACAAGTCCGCTGGGCACAAGAAGACAGCTGGATTGTGTGTCAAGATTTTGCTTGACATCAGAGGAGTTTTTTTTCAATACAAGATAATTCTCTAGAGGTACGCAGCATACCTGGCAATTCACAAATAGCCATTGAACAAATGTGTTGTTTTGTTTTGTTTTTTATATGAGTTGCCTATATTTGCTATTCAAAATTTTGTAAATATGCAAATCAGCTTTATAGTTTATTACACGTTTTCTAAGATTCTTTTGGGGAAAAAAATCATAAATAATTCTTTTGAAAATAACCGTGAATACATTTACAGTTAGAACTTGTGGTAAGATACCTCTTAAAACCTTACCAAATTCATTTCTGTGGTAGGTAGAAATAAATCACTCAAATGAACTTCAAAAGCAGATTTCATGCACTGATTAAAATCGGATTGTTTATTTTAAATACAAGCTACATTTTATATGAATTGTGAACTCAAGAGCTTAAAGATAGACTATTCAAAAGTTAAAACATCTTAAAATAAGCTAAACAGTATCATTTTTGAGAAGAAGGACATATGTAGTTTTCACTTGGGAATGTTGAATTTATGATAGTTTTCATATACGAAAACGTTGAATTAATGATGCAGTTTTCATATACTGAGATGTTTGCTTGTGCAGTACAATTGGTTAAATGCCAATTTATGTGGACTTTGCATGTAATATACAGTGAGACACAGTAATTTTACTTAAATTACAGTGCAGTTTAGTTAATCTATTGTTAACACTGACTCAGTGTCTGCCTTTAATTATAAATGACATGTTGAAAACTTAAGGAAGTAAGTGCTACATATATGCAATATAAAATAGTAATGTGACACTGATGCTGTTAACCAAAGGGCAGAATAAATAAGCAAAATGCCAAAAGGGGTCTTAATTGAAATGAAAATTTAATTTTGTTTTTAAAATATTGTTTATCTTTATTTATTTTGTGGTAATATAGTAAATTTTTTTAGAAAATTTTCATAACGATAAATTATAGTTTTGTTTGTTAGAAAAGTTTCTCTTAAAAACGTGTACATAGATGACATGGTGTAAATATTTTGTAAGAGGCTTCAAAATGTTTATACGTGGAAACATACTTACAAGAAAAGCATAAATTGGTTGCTGTTTTGCTTCTTTTTCCCTCTTATTTTTGTATTGTGGTCATTTCCTATGCAAATAATGGAGCAAACAGCTGTATAGTTGTAGAATTTTTTGAAAGAATGAAATGTTTATATATATAAACGACAATTTTTTTTTGAAAATAAAAAGTGCCTAAAAGATTCATGTTGTGCCTTCTTCCCCTCCCATAGCAAAAACAGTGAGCAAATTCCTCTCTCGTAACTATTTAAAAGGGTCTGTTTAATGCAGACAGTTAATAAAAAAGTAATTCCCACTTTGAACAAGCATCTACCTTTGTTTAACATGGAAGAGAGGAATTTATTTTTACTATATCAAAAGTATAAAGGGGAGCATGCTTCATGAATGTTGATTTCTTTTCCCCTATTCTGGTCAGTACACAGATACATTACTGATTTTGTGTTTTCAAGATCATTACTTGTAGACACTGGAGGTAACTTGAATATCCTAGTTTAAAAAAATTTTTTTTGGTCGCGCCTCTTGGCTTGTGGGAGCTTAGTTGCCTGACCAGGGGTTGAACTCAGGCCCCAGCAGTTGAAGAGCTGAGTTCTAACCACTGGACTGTTAGAGAATTCCTTGTATATCCTAGTTGTATTGTCAGAGGTAAAACAAGAATAGGGTTTTTAACTTTTTTTTCCTTTTTGAACAAAGTCGATTTTAACCACTAGTAACAATACACCTGGGAGCCTCACCTTGGCTTCTAGTGCCACCTCCAGTGAAAAGAACTGGGGCTCCTTGGAGACATGGCTGATTCTGGGAGTGGACATACAAAATAAGCCTGGTGTATCCTACAACGTCAGACTGTAAGCAATCATAATTCCCACAGTGATGTGGGAATGTCAGAGCAACAGTATAAAACATGATTGACTTGTAACCAATCCTGTTTTTTACTAGTATATACCCCTGAGTCCATGCTAATATAATTGAAAAATGATTGAAAAAAATCAGAGATCTGCAGAAGATCTCCAGTTTTTGTAGATCCAGTCTCTGGTAGAATTTAACGCCCTACTCTTTTAAGTTCAGGCTGCATAAAGTGACTTTATTCCAAAGAGTACAATATAGCCAAGAGGGAAGAGAGGGTCAGTTTACAGTTACAAAAACCTGCCAGACACTCAGCTTCTGATCAAGGTCCTTGTCAACAGGTAAGTCATGTTCTCACAGTATATACCCTTGATTTGATGTGATGAAAATGGGACTTTGCCTCTGTGGTCTTCCTCTTAAAACACGTAAGTCCTGTGTAAGCGTGAGAAAGACACTGGACATCGCAGTCGAGGGATATTGCAAACTATCCAACCAGTAGTCAAAACTTAAGGTCTTGAAAACAGGAAAACTGAGAAGCTGTCACAGCCAAGAGAAACCTAAATGAAACAAAAACAAAATGGGATTCTGGAACAGAGAAAGGACATGGGGGAAAACTGAGGCAATTTGAATAAAGTATGAAATAGAGGAAGCTAAGAGTGGGGTATATAAGAATTCTGTATTATCTTTGCAATGTCAAACTTCTAGAATAAAGTTTCGAGCAGAAGTTAGAGTGAAAGTTTAGGATAAAGTTTGGAGTGAAGGAGAAGAATTCAGTATCACTATCATATATTTTCAAGAAGTGGAAAAATCCCTGATGAGGAAAATAAGGTAAAATTGCAGTTAACATAATTTGGCATTGTAAGTTTATTCAGCCTTCCTCATTACTGGACCCCTCATTCTCCCTGTCACTCAACACAGCTAGCTAAAGAAGAGGGCGTGTTCATTCTCCAGCCAGAACCTCATTATTTCATGGGTGAAAAACATAATTTCTTTGGCTTAAATTTATTTCTAGAAATTGAGATAGAAAGTGAGGCTACCAGGTTTCTGAAGCAAAGACAGAGATGTCTAATGATGCATCAGAGATGGATAAGTATTCAGTTGATAATTGTAAGAATTAAGTTTTCTTATGTGTAGAAATGTTCTGCTTGCTTTGGTTCCAGCACTTAACTATATTCAGCTTCCTCACGCTTCAGTACCAATTTACTCCAGATTACAGATTACAACTGTTTCTAGTCTCTTTTTTTTTTTTGGACCGGGCAGCATCTGGGATCTTAGTTCTGCGCGTGTTCATTGGAAGCACGCAGTTTTAACCACTGGGCCACTGGGGAAGTCCCTCTCTGCCTTTCTTTCTTTTTTTTTTTTTTTTCCTCTCTGCCTTTCTTTAGTCTCTGTTTCTCCCTTATGTAAAAAGCTGCCCTTTCTCTTCTCTTGCCAGCTATCTGTTCACATGCTTGTGTACTAGAGCTCAGTTCAGATGCTGTTTTTCTTGGTCAGACTCAGTGGAACCTCTTTTGCATTTGGAGACATGATGACGCTTCAGCATTTGAATATTTTCCAACTTCTTTTGTGTATGTTTTTTCTCCTCAGATTGTCAACTCCTTGGAAGAAACACCACTTCTCAGATTGCTTTTGTTTTCCTGCTCTTAGTGATTGATAAAGCAGATGTCAAAAATAGTTTTACAGTGCTGTGTGAATTGGTTTAAGCCCTGAAGGGGTTGAATCTGTCTGATGTTCAACAGATTTCCTCTTCACGTTGCCCTGTTGATGCAGTGTTGGTGCTGGATTCTTGATGAGGTGTGTGACTGAAACTGATTACAAGGTGGGCAAACAGGTAATGCCTTGTGAATTTTCAAACATTGTGAGTGAATTTTCAAAGGGAGAATTATTTTAGTGTCTTAACACACTTTCAAAGCTGCAGACAGTTAATTTCAATCATTAGCATATCCACTAAATAAATAGCTGCATTCAAATATACTCTGACCAGTCTCTTGATAAACAAACTACCCCAACTAGATGAAAATTGATTAAGACGCAAGATTCCAGTTAGCCAGAACATAATGATGTGATTTGACATCAAGTTAGTAACGCTCTGAGTTTCAACCATCTTCAGTTACTTGTCATTCTCCCTTCCACCCCCTGCCCAAGTTACCTCGTTTTCTGTTTTGTTCATTATGTTATTTCATTCTTATATTGCATCTTGTGTTAAATGCATCACTTCATGGCATCCAATTAGAGAATCCTTAGATAAGCACGACTTGGCCTGCCTACATAAAAATTTCTTCAAAATCTAGCTAGATTCCTTTTCCTATCTGCAGCTAAGCCCACCAGAGCTCTTTGGATTAACTCATGGACTGTAACATAACAAAACAGAGCTTTATTCTCCATTACTAAATCTGGTCTCTACTTTGAAGTTAACCAAATCCCATCTTTGGTTAGATTCTTTACTGTAGTCTCAAATAATCAATAGGAGACACTCCCCCACCCCCCACCCTTTTTACTCATACCAGAGTTATCAGTGACAAAACCTGACAATTATTTATATTGAATATTTATATAAAAATGATTATTAAGGCAAAAAGAAGCATAATAAATTACATGAGAGCTATGTATAATTAGAAGAGTTTGCTACAGGAAAACTCAGAATGTCCTTTTTTCTTTGTAAACCAGCAATCTTTATTTTACTTACCACTTTTAGTGATTACCACCCCATGAGAGCA